TTCCAAACTTGGACCCAAGCGACTGTCCTTTAAGCTTGGACTTCCCACACGTCCTGTTTTGGGTGCATCAATTGGTGCTCCCAGACCCTTGACTCCTTCCTCCTCTTCAATTGATGCCCCACTATGACTCGCACGATTGTTGACCAATTCCGCGAGCCAGGTGGGCATACCTTGGCACGCTTCATAGCTGGGAGGTCCATTTATCCATTCATACGTTGCAAGCTCGCCATGAGCATTCGAGTAGCTTGTTGGTGAAGCGAACACGACACCACCAATTCCTCTTCCATCAACGCAAAACGTCCTGTCGTCGACCTTGAGACCCTGAAAATTTCGTCTCCACGTGAGACCTGGAGAGTCGAGCTTGAAGTACAAGTGCAATCCACCAGAGCCGGTCCTTGCTTTCAGTGTCTCCGGCTCCCCGTGGATCTCAACAAGTTGCTGCCAGAGCTCGGTCCCTGGTCGCTTGCCCCCTTTTGCAGCTACATCAATGTCGATCACATACACTCGACTGACTCCTGCAAGTATTGCAAGCCCGTTTGCATCTCGCTTTTCCTTCATCGCTTGATTGATGGACCGCCCCCATGCCTCTGTATCTTTGATATGTGCATACTTGTCAGGAAACTCAGCTTGCTTCGAGCCTCTATTCCGATCCCAAGAGACGGACACTGGGAGTGCGTATAAGCCGTTGTTACAGAGTCGTTGGATCTCGTTCCTGATGCTGACGGGTCCTAGGGCTTTTGGGTCTCTGGCTGTCTGAGCCTTCCCCTGGGATCGAGAGGCGTTTGCCCGTTCAACATCCGACGTAGCCATTCCTTTCTATACTCCAGTGAGGAAAGAAAATTAGACGATTGAAACGCGCTCCCTCGGCATCTGCGTTCTCGTACCACTTTTTTTCGAAGCTTCATTGTAGGGCGTCATGGTCCAAAGCACAAGTTCTTTGATCGACACCAACACTTATCCATGCCATTGCCGCGTTTGTGAGACGAGTCGCGCTTACCAAAAGGAGCACCATGTGGAACACGCGCAAACCGTTCGAAGATACTATGGCCGAAATCGGGAGAACATCCTCATGCAAAAAGCATACAAACGCTTGCTTACCGGTACCACAAGAAAGCTCCACAAAGCCACAATTCGACGCTTGATAGACGCCGGGTATGATGTGCCCCGAACGGCTGTCCCCTCGGACATAGGAGGCGATTCCAAAGCCCCCACCGTTCCTTTAAGTGCGTTCACAAGCATCGAAGTCTCCTGAATGAGGGGTAAGTGGCAAGA